AGGTCAGAAGAGCTTTATTTAACAGCTGGTCTTATGTCTGTGACCCCTCCTGTTGTTTATTGATGAGCCTGAAACATGCACTTGTCAAGGTTCAGAGGCACATTTTGCAAATATGGCAGTAGCCATTGATCATCTTAAGATAAGATGTACTTTATTGATCCCAAGTTGGAAACATTTGCGTTACATCAGCATGTGTAACAGTTGTAAATATGCAGTGGTGTTTATTTGTAAATCATTTAGTATAATCACACACATTTTGTGTTTTATATTTAATAATTCTGTGTTCTTTATTTATTGATTGTTCAATACCTGACAAGGCCGGAGATTAAAAACTTTGGTCGCAGGTTCCTCAACAGTGCATTACAAGACATCTATCAATATGTGTGTACCTCCACCATTAAACTGTCGTATTCTGCACATTTATTATACTATCTACATACATCTTATATAAGAGTATAATACATATGTATAATATCAGTTAAAATAAGTGCTTCAACATAGTTAACATTGCTGGAGGTATACACGAAGTTTTTCATTCATTGCATAACTTCACCGTTTGTGTATATCAGGGGTGGCCAACCCGCGGCTCTCGAGCCGCATGCGGCTCTTTGCCTAGTTTCATGCGGCTCTTCAGTTCATATCGAATTTTATATGTGTGAGTTTGGGGGAGAGACACTGACTCCTTACTAGTGTTGCACGGTGTACCGATACTTGAAAGGTACTGCGATACCCTGCCGTTAAAAACGTTACGATTCCTCCGTTTCATTAGTATCGGTACTTTAAGAATGACGGGGAAAAGTACTCCGGTGAGAAAGCGCCGTTTTAATAAGAGCCGTGTGTGTTCAGCGCTCTGCTTCCACTCCCTGCACTGCAGCCGTGCCTGCAGTCCCGCCCCTCTCAAGCACGCTCTAAGTCCCTCCCCTCTCAAGCACGCTCTAAGTGCCTCCCCTCTCTCGTGCACGCGCTAGCTGCCAGAGCATGTGAGAAAACGAGAAGCATGGCTGCAAGTGGGAGTGCAACTGCCGCTGCGCCTCGGCTTGTTGACAAAAAAGACGCCAGGAGCGAAATTTGGAAGTATTTGAGCAATATCTCTGACAGTGAGGGCAAGCCTACGGACACCACGAGGCCTGTCTGTAAGACATGTATTAATTGTATTTAATACGAATTCTTGTCATTTATTTTATTTATTGTTCTCATTGTTTAAACGTTTGTGTTATGGTTATGGTTCTGGTGTGAAATAAAGCACAATAATTACATTTAAGACCGTTTCCCTTTTTTTAAGAAAATATCGAAAAAGAATCGGAATCGCAATTCTTGACTTGGTATCAAAACCAAAATGTTGGTATCGTGACAACACTAGCTACTCCTGACAGTTAAACCTGATATTTAGTAGGTCTGTTAAGTATTGAATGCTGATAATTCTGACGTAATTTGGTCGGTCAAAGTTGTTTGGGCTCGGATAAAATCGCTCCGTTACTTTCGTCCCGTGTTATGTATGTTGTGTATGTGTGGTGTCAGTGTGAGAGGATGACAGCGCATATACTTTTGATGTGGCCCAAGAGCCAATCACAATAATACCTGCGATGCAGTGAACCAATCACCTTTGAGGGGGGGGAAACCTATCGTTGATTAAACATTATCCAGTGTTTCCCCTGCCATTGTCTTGGAGGGGCGCTGCGCCCCGCCAACGGAGCCCCGCCAACGGAGCCCCGCGCCCCCCTGAAATTCAAGGTGTTTAAAAAACATATATATATACTTTTTTTTTAAAATATATATATAGCACCAAATTGCAAATAATCTATAACTACTGTCACTTTTCACATTGAACATGTGCTCTTTTATTAAATAAACTAAACGCTTTCATTTTAAGTTGTGAGTTTAGTGTTTTTGACCCTAAGAAACACTGATGCATTAATCAATAACAATAATCCACAGCTCCTCTCTCTGCTCCAGAGGATTTAAAAAAAAAATATCCTAATGCCACAAAAATGCATCAGTGACGTGGTTGAAATCTTGTCTCCAGAAAACAAAAAACTGAAACAAGCGGTATCAGTGACTGTGTGTTTGATGTGGCTCTTTGCAGTAACATAGAAAAAATGTGGCTCTTAACCTCTGACTGGTTGGCCACCCCTGGTGTATATGATATGTCAATAAACCTTAGAAACTCTTGAAATCTTGAAAGGGATGTGCAAAATAGTCATTATATACAGTCTTTAATTAACTATTAGTAGAGAATAACGAGTAATGAATATACTTTATAGGGATCCTATTAATATCTAATAATAAAAATAATGAAATTCAATAACATGCTTTAACCACTAGGTGTCCCTTTATATCAGCTGTGCACCTTTATGGTGTAAATACAGCCTATCTACCAATTGGATCAAATATAAAAGTCAGCCGAATTAGTGTTGATACTGCAAGGAGACGTATTGTGTGAAAAGAAATGTAAGATGTTGTTTAATGGCTGATATGTTTATGATCCACGTCACGTTTTCAGTGTTGGCGGCAGTTCCTCGTGTTTGTCTAGAAGTCTTCTCATCAGGGCTCTATAAATAGAGAACTACGGCAGATATGTAATATGTAATGCAGCCGAACCGTGTATTACAATGCCGTTATGTGATGACTTTCAAAGAGAAAAGCAAGCACACTCGGAATAAAGTGTTTTCGGTCTGTTTCCGGTATTTGTTTATGACGATGTGCTGTGAGATGTGAGACTGGAATTGCACAGGGGAAAATAACGTATCTATGCCACAATTTTAGATGCGGATTTTGTTAAACTAATACGTTTGCTCTGTGGACCAACACTATACATTGACGGGGAAGGGGGTAGCAATAAAGATTACACCATTAAACAGTTACACAACATAACAGAAATAATATCGATAGCAGCGTCCCTAGCAACCACCTTGGTAACAATGAAAACGTTGTATCGACACAATTTCCTGAATTAATCTTCGTAATAACTAGCAAACTAAAGATCATTTACATCCACTGCACACATAATCTGAAATAACAACTCATATTTCTCGCATCAAATGACATCAAAAGGCATTTTAATGGCCAAACTAACTTTAAAATAGGCATTTTACACCGAGAATAAAACGAAGTTCGGCCATGTTTTTTTTTTCTGCAGGGAGAAATGTGAAGATCACGTGACATAGACGCCAGCCATTGGAATGAATGGTGAAAAAAACCGTAGGGATCTTACAATTTCAGAGGCGTTTTTGTAGAAATACTACGTCCTACGTTGTGGACCAACGTAGTTATTACACGTTTTTTTATGAGACTGGGTTGGCAGGTCCGCTGCAACTCTGACTACTTTTAAATCCAGGCTGAAGACTTTTCTTTTTGCCACTGCTTTTAATTGAAACTGAGCGGTTGTGTTTCGTTTTTGGGTAATGAACATTTAGTAACCCCAGGGAATCGATGTCTGGGGACTTTGTCCTGGCTGATTTTCTCTGTGTGTGCTGCTCGGGACGTATGTGCCATACAAGCGTACACAGCTCATGTTCGGAGAAACCTTAGAGAAAGGCACCAGTAAAATGGAACTTCTGTGTGAACTATTCATATCTTAAACTGCACTGTAACTTTTTATTCATGTACTTTTTATTAATGTATTTTCTCTTTTAATGTTTCTTTTATTATCTTTTCTTTTTAATGACTGTTTTTAAATGCCTTTGTCTGAATGTCATTCATTTTTGTAAAGCACCTTGAACTGCCTTGCCTTACACCTTTTGGTAGATTGGGAAGGCTATAGAGAAATGGGCCTTGGAAATTCAATTGGTTGCTCTGACGTTGGTGATGACTCCGCTGATGGGTGAGGAAGTCATGAATCCTGTGAATAAGGTCAGACTGCACATTCAAGTTGTGGCCCTGTGTTGTGTTGAAGGCTGAGCTGTGATTGATGAAAAGCTACGCTGTGATTGTGTAGTGTCCATGAGACTCCATGTTTTGTAACGAGGTGCGTGTGACATGTCGCTGCCAGTATTGCATTGCAGGCAAACTGTGAAGCATGACATATAAAACCAGTTTCTGAAGGTTGTTTATGTTTCAATTTTAGTGTCATGCACATAAGCTACAGTGTAGAAATGGCAATGAATATCTCATAACCCGAGCTCCGACATATATAATAAAATACAAAAATACAATTAAAAAATAGTGCAAGAAGTCTATATACACGTTGGTATATTTATAATGTAATAGTTTTTTTTATGAATTATTTTATTTTTTTGTTGGGTATATATTTTTAAAATATGTGTTTTATTATTAGTTATTATAATTCTTAAATCTAAATTTACAATACTTTCAAGTTATTTAGTTTGAATTTTTTTGGTTTTTATTTATAACAGAAGGCAATGTACAGGATATTTAAAAATCCCTTGTGTTTTTTTCACAATCTGACGAACGATAAAGGATAGTTAAGCTCTGGACATCACACCTCAAAGGATGTTGTCTGGGCCTGGTGTCTGGTTTGGCTTGCATCGGCACAGAATTTGGCATGTAAATAATTTCAAAAGCATTTAAAAAAAAATCACGTGTCGTTCAAATTGCAATGTTGGAATGTATTAAACTTCATATCTCAAATTCAAATATCATAAACCCAGTGCAATATCAAAATACTGCACTTAAAGGCATATACACACTTCTGTAAAAGCTCATTTTGAAACACAAGCCCTTATAAATAGCCTTTCTTTCGAACTGAAGAGGGATACAAAGTGATTTATCTGCTAGAAAAGTTGCCGAGATCAGATCTTCCCGTGCATCAGCCAGCTAAATCAGAGCAGTGCAATACGAGACGCATGAAAGTGGAGACGGGGGTAAAAGATGCAGTGAAGACGGAGGCATGTGGGAGCACCCTGTCCGACAGAGACTCTGTGGCTGACTCAGCCTTACTGCAGTGTGTATGTACGTGCATGTGGCTGCACCCCCCTTCCTCCCCCTGGCCATTTCGCTCCATCCCCCTCCCTCTCTCCCGCTCTCTCTCTCTCCCTTACTCACTCACTACCTCTGCAGTACCTCTCCTGCTCATTCCTCCCTGAGCTGGTTGGGGAGACACGCTGATTTTTCTGCTTTTCCGCCTGCTGGCTCTGCTCCAGCATCCCTCCGTGCCTCTCGGGTACTATCCTCCCCCCTCCAGCCTATGTGTCCCTCTGTGGGTTTTGACAGCCAGCCTGCTTCCCTGGCTGCTGCTGCTGGAGCAGTGGAGCTGTTTGACACCACACTGCTACGCCGCCTTGCTTCTCCTATCTGCCTCACACTCTCCTCTGCTGGATAATCACCACTGAGTCTGAAAGAGACCGCGACAGAGGACTCGGGAATCAAAAGGGAAGGCGGGAGGGAGATAAGAGAGCCTTTCGTTTGACTGCTGCATTCTTCTTCTTCAGTTTTCCCATCTCTGGCCTGCTGGAGTGCAGCACAGGGAACAACTGCTCGGGGGGGAAAAACTCCCTGAAGGAATTTATTCCCTTCTCGTAAGCGTCCTCCCTCGCTGGGACAGAGGAGGAGAGAAGAGGGGAGGGACTGAGTGCAGGACTTCAGCTCAGGGTCCCACCCTGCTCATAGGACAAACACACGCACAAACACATTTGGATAGATTGGACACAGTGCAGTCAGACAGGGACAGATTGACACATTTAGACAGACAGGCAGACAGACAGGTGGTGTCATGGCGTCAGTGGACAGCACCGGTTCGAGGGTCTCTGGTCGGCTGAGATCAGGGGATATACTTCACACTGGGCTGGTAGTTGCACTCCTGCTGGGTGAGTTATACTTCTGCCTGTCATTCTTCACTCTTTCATTACACATCACACGTTTAATGCCTTAATTGCAGTTTATAATTGGCTCTATACATTTGAACTCCTTCCTAAGACATCTTATTCTGGTGCTTGAGTATATTTCATGCCGCTCTGTCACAGTAAATCTTTCTTTCATTAATCCATACGAACATTTGCTGCTCTATTGCCTCTGCTTCGGCTCCCCTGTCTCAATATGTTCTGCTCTCAACTGGAGGCTAACAGGTACGGTTACATCACAGCAGATGTTTACTTGTTGCTGTGCTAAAGGGCATCAAGGTCAATAACATCCAATCCTTCAGTGGATCTGAACCTGGGCATATGTTGCCGAGTGACATGCTGAATGCATTAACACAATGCCATTTTTATAGAACAGTTAGTGAAAGGGCGATAAATATATCTGGAACAAAATGTAGACTAGTCAATAATAGATTGGATTAGATGTGGTGTGTGTGTGTGTGTGTGTGTGTGTGTGTGTGTGTGTGTGTGTGTGTGTGTGTGTGTGTGTGTGTGTGTGTGTGTGTGTGTGTGTGTGTGTGTGTGTGTGTGTGTGTGTGGTGTGTGTGTGTGTGTGTGTGTGTGTGTGTGTGTGTGTGTGTGTGTGTGTGTGTGTGTGTGTGTGTGTGTACTATTACTGGTAGTGACGTAGTGGTGCAGTGGTGATCCCTGTTTTGCTCACACACTCCCTAAAGCCCCTGTCACACTGTCCCGAAATTGACACCCGATGGACACACGAATATGGAATTGTGAATTTCGCACGAAGATGGCCCCGAACCACACACGAAGGCAACATTTACATTACATTTAAGACATACAACTGCAATGAAAGTACCAAAAACAATTATGTTACAGTACTATGATAGTGTACTGATATCTTCAGACTTTGTTGTTACTTTATCCGTCGTTATATGTAGAAAATATTACGTGTTCTCCGTAATGTTGTTTCCATAACAACAACAACTTCCTGTCAACTGTCCTTCAAAATAATATATTATATCCTTTTTAGTTTCACAGAACACAAATTGGGTTATTTACATAATATATTTACATGATTTTGTTGTGCAATAAAACAACCCGATGGACACACGATAAAGGAAATGTTCAAATTCGGCTGTGATCGTAGCAACATCGGGCCATTCGTGAGGGCATCTTAAGCCATCGTATGACCGCCGGTGGAGTTTCTCAGGCTCCGGCAGCAACTTCGTGAGCGGTGGCAAAATCTTTGGCATGCCAAAAAATAGCCGAAGGACCTTGCGAAGGTTCATTTTCGTGTTGAATTCGTGTGTCAATTTTGCCCTTCGTAAGGCCATCGTGAGGGCATCTTGTTATCATCGGTGCCATCGGGCATTCGCCCCGATCAGAGTGAGGGCGAATGCACCGATGATAACACGAAGATGACACGATTTGACAAGATGCCCTCACGAGTGCCTTACGAAGTTGCTGCTCACGAAGTTGCTGCCGGAGCCTGAGAAACTCCACCGGCGGTCATACGATGGCTTACGATCACAGCCGAATTTGAACATTTCCTTTATCGTGTGTCCATCGGGTGTCAATTTCGGGACAGTGTGACAGGGGCTTAAGTGTGTTGTAGAGCCCCACATCCGAACATGTCCTCCTGCCTCTCACCATAGCTCACAGTTGATGCAAAGAAAACTGATTAGGGGTTTATGTGAAAAACATCCCTTATTAAGTAATAATATTTCATAAAATGCCGATATGTAAGCACTTAAGACCTAAAATTCCAATGCAGAAATAGTTCTAGTGGCAAAAACAACCTCAACTAAATCTTATTATTCTCTTTTAAAGAGTTTGCTTAATTCCTTTTTTGTGATTTGTAAATGGTTCTTTCCTTTCACACCGTTAAAGTTGTCCAATCAAGCTATAATGGATAATCTTTTTAAGGTTGAATATTAGTAATTGAGAAATATTGAACAAGAGCTCCAACAACATCTTGTCATTGATGTGAGATGACTTAGCATACATAAAAGAATATGTAGCTTTTTTTTTTTTTTTGGAAGTATATATATATATATATATATATATATATATAATCGAAGCTGATTATGGTGTGTGGTTGGCTGAAAACCCAATTTATATACAATGTTAACCTCAAATTACAGGCATGTTGATAAATGAAAACATTACAAATGGATGCTTGCAATTCTAATGAAGAGTTCAAACTTTTCCAAACGTTGTAATCTAAGAGTTATTCGGTAAAGTATTAAATAACTTGGTTAGGGTTAGGTTGTTTATGTGGCACTATCTGGCTCCCTAATTACCTTAGGTTTGATCCCAAAAGTTGCATTAACATAAAATAAAACCTATTTTACTGATAGCTAACAGGCTTTGGATTTGGAATTCAAGAAATACACTTTTTAATATGTATATATATATGTTTTATTTATTTATTTGGAAGAAACAAAACTGAAATGTTGAACGTAGATGAAACCCACTCAGTCAAAGTAAAGCAAATGAAGTATAGTGTGGAGATGTCAGTCTGTATATTTCGGTGTGTAGCTTCATCCTTTGGGTATTTGCTGTTGTAATGAGTAGGTCACCTACTTATATGTGTTCTTAATTTCTATGAGTAAAGTTGATGCAACATTGAGGCAAGATTTTCCGGTTTATCTTGAAGGTAAAAAATCAAAACCAGTAGAAAAGCCACCATCAAATTATAAGTTATACTCGCCCTGTAACATGGATCTTTAAATTGGGCCAAGAAAGAAAAAAAAGCATCATTGACTAATTTTTCTTTTTGACCTTCTAAAGACCTTGACTCAAATTAATTATGCGTCAGCCATCTTGGAGTGTCAGACAAATAACAACTCATAAGCTGCTTCAAAACACAACATTACCATCTCCATTCTCAAACATAGCATCATGTTGTACTTTAATCTGTATTCTACAATGTACTGTATTCGGTTTAATACAGCATATTCATTTTCATCTTAATATACCCATCTGTTGATAAGTCCTGCCTGCATACAAAGACACCTGTTTAGTCGTTCTCTTATATTCCTATAATCTTTGCCAACATGCTGCGGCAATCTCTCTTTTGAATTACTAAGCAATAAACTCAATTACACACTTGTGTTACAATAATTAGAGATATACAAAATAAAACATGATAGTAACTTGCTGTCAGGTCTGTCCAAACTAAAGAAAGAAGGGACGATATTATTCATCCTCAAAGTATCACTCATTTTTCACTGACATTTCAAGCCCTCATTACAACAGACAAGACCTAACGGACAAAAATACACTCATCAGAAAATAAACCAACGTTTTTAAAGATATACAGAAGAACACACAGAAGAACTGTCACTTAAAGCCTGAAACCACATTCATCTCCTTTACCATCACGCACTACAGTCTATATGGTGCTATATTATAACATAAAGGACTATGCAACATTGTTTGTTGTCGAATAAAAGAGCAGATTGTGATAAAACCAGCGATGAGGTCAACAATCGCAGAGCAGTGCAAGTTATAGAAGAGCATTTACATTACATGTCACTTGTTAGACGCTTTTATCCAAAACGACTTACATACTCAATACTGTGGACAATCCCCACAGGAGCTGATCTGAACACCAACGCACAACCCACTGCACCACACACCTCCCTAGTGACCAGTAACATTGAATAATCAGTCAATTAAGTTGTATTTATATAACATAACTATACTGTTTTTAACGCAAGGCTCTGTGCCAATCTCGCGGAAAGCAAAGAGCAAGTCACATATCACTTGAATGCAACATAAGCCTATAGAATTGTTAGCAACCGCCGTTTTTAAGACGCATAGAAGCTTCGGACATTCACCAGTGTGGTATTTACTGACGTATTTAAGTCGTAGAACAAAACATTAAATCTCTTTGGCCTGTTTTAACCAAAGATCTTATTTCAGGTTTCTAACCACAAAAAAACACTAACTTTGACACAAGGGTGCAGAAAGTGATACAATTCAGTTCCGGGTTTTATGACTCATTCCTGCACCACCTTATAGCAGCGTAACCAGATAAGCCTCAACCAGGCCTCAAAATAAGCTTCATCAAAAGTCTTAACCAACTCTTAAATGTGGTGAGTGTGTCTGCCTCTCGAGCAGTTGGCATGTAAATGTGATAATCGTTCTGTATGTTGTTACTTGTTCTTGAGTCTATCGTATTACCTCAGTGTGTGTACGAGCAGCGTAAATACGAGCCTGCCTATAGGCCTCTGTTGATTTAGCCAGTGTTGTGATTCTCTGACCTCCTGTCACTCTTACCTTGGAGAGGACATCCCACTACCTCTCTCGATCCATCTGGCGTAACCTCTTCAACACTGCACCTCCATTATCATACCCCTCCATGTTCACTCCCTACCGTCTCTTTCTCTGAGAGTTAATAGTGTCCTCGCCCGGTTCTCCAAGGGTTCACTCTGAAATACATAAACCCTTCAATCTGTGGCCTACTTAGAAAAGAACCACCTTGACAGTCAGCAGAGGACACACACACTCAGTTACTTGATTTTTCCCTCCCAGCAGTGATTCGGATATTGATGTTTCCCAACTGAGACAAAGAGTGGAGTTATAAATATCACACACGTTCCATTACTCATGCACACACACCCACACAACAGTGCCTGCATTGTAATGTATTGTATGTAAAGACAAGAGTTCAAATATATCACACACATAGATATAGCATAGTACATGTGCGGGTGTTGTCAGGACAAACTGAAGAGATTTGAGAAGAAGAGGGGGGGGCGGAGAGAAAAGGCATAGTATAGAGCAGAGGTGAAAACATAGGGGGGGTGATCTATTTATAGGTATGAGGGGGGACACTTCTCTCAGATATGTAAAAGATCCTCATGTTCCAGTGTGCAGAAAGATACACTGCTATTTAGAAAGAGAGAACCTGACTTGTGTTCACAGTTGTTTTTATTTTGCACTTGGTTAGAATCCTTTCTCAGTGGCAGTAATGACCATCAGATGGTAAATGTTTCAGTAATCCACTTAACAGACTTTACAAGGCCAATGAGCAGCCAGCTACTGAAAGCGTTTGAAACCATCACTTGATTTAAAGGGGCTCTAGTATGCTCATTCTCAGGTTCATATTTGTACTCTGTGTCTCTACTGGGACATGTCTCCATGCTTTAATGTTCAAAAAGCTCTTTATTTTTCTCATACTGCCTGTGCTGCAGCACCTCTTTTCACCCTATGTCTGAAACCAGAGCTCAGTCTGCTCTGATTGGTTAGCTGGCCGGCTCTGTTGTTGTGATTGGTCAACCAGCTTAGAGATGTCCCGCCCATTGATGCACAATTTGTTGGAGCGCTAGAAGTCCCTCCCTTTCCGGGGAGCTCCATGGGACCTTATTTCGGAGAAAGTATGTATTGAAGTCAATGGAGAGAGAAAGATTATCTTTCGATCCCGTTTGAATTCTGCCACGAATTACACATATGATGTTTGTCAATTTAAAAGATAATTTTGCAAGTCAGAAAAATTCAAATGTGTCGTAAAACTGTGAAGTTACACTTTTTTTGTGTGAAAGCGCTCAATGAACTACATCTCCCGTCTCGCACCACACACCAAGACGGCCGTCACGTTGAAACATTTCACTTTCAGAATGAAGCGGAAAGTATTAAAAGAGGTGAAAATCACTCCAAGTCTGGGCACGTTGAGAGCTGTGCATACACACAAGGGGAGTTAGTCGGTTCCTAAGAGCCAGCATGCGGGACCGGGACTCTGGGATTTGTAGTCTTTCTAGTTGGGTATTTTTCATAGTCTTATATTTCAACAGTTTTACGACAAACTGTGACTTTTTTGACATGGAAATGATTTTTTAAGATTGAGAAACATCATATGTGTAATTCATGGCCCAATTCAAACGGGATCGAAAGATACGTTTTCTCTCTCCATTGACTTCAATACATAATTTCTCCGAAATAAGGTCCCATGGGTCGGAAGTAGATGGGCGGGACTTTGCCTCTCTATAAAGTGCTACATTGTGAATGTGATAGTGTTTAGGACAGAAACTCCCTCTGGAGAGAACACAGGTATTTTAGCCTTTGCAGACCATTTACATGCACACAAACCTATACAATAAATCTGCAGGAAAGAGAAAACCCCCAAAAGCACAAGCCTCTTTAACCAACCAGCCACATACAAAAATAAAAACACACAAACATAGACCAGCTCCACTCATCTCTCATCTTTAATTCAGTGATCCCTGAGGAGAATATCCTGCAAACAACTAAGACAGAAACCCTGAGGAAAAAAAATAGAAACAAATAAATAAATAAAGCTTATTCAAAGAGAGTACAAAAATAGAGAAGAACAATGACAACCTAGATGGCCTGTGTTGAAAGTAGAGGAGACGAGTGTAGATGACGACAGAGGAGAGGTAAAACTATCGGATGTTAAAAGACGAGAGGAAAGCGGTGAAAGTGAGAAGACGAGAGAGCAAATCCAGAAAACTGAACAAAGGAAGTACCAAAACCATTCACACCGGAATAATCTGACTCATTTGGCTACTTTTTAACTTTCCGCGTACTTGACATAGAAAATTGTTTCTATAAATACTTTTGAATGCTCTATGCAAAACTCTATCCAGTTTGTGTTTTTCCCAAGCATCACTGGCCAGACAGTTATTGAACATGTAAATGAAATGTTTTTTACAGAACACATAATGACTGGGAGCTGGGGTCTGTTCACCACTTTTGAACAGGGGAAATGACCCTGATTCAATACCAAATGTTAAAGAGGCCCTGTAATGGGAACTTCGTGGGCTCCTGTCTTTCCTGTAGTGTGTTATGTAGGTTGTTGGGCATCTAACTGGTTTCCAAAGGCAACTTGAATATATTAGATAAAGCTAATACTCATAGGTTAACCAAATAAGTGAAATATGATGCTAGTGACAATTATGTATTTATTTTAAAGTGTATTTCTTTCTTTTTCATTGAGACATTTATTTGAAATATTTGCTATATTTATTCAAACACTGTTCTCAGGCTTCGAAACTGTAAATATTTTTTTAATTATTAACATTTGAAATATGTTTTTTTTATATCCAGAGTTGTACTAACCATAACTTATTCACAGTAACATGTATTTCCATTCTAATGTCAAGTGGCCATTCATCTCAACTTGATGCCAGATATTCCTGTTTTATAATGTTTTGTTACAGAGTTAGAAAGATGTGGTGGGAATTTCTAATATAGATGTAAGTCCCGGAAAACACACAGGCCTACATGTACTTTAACAGTTTGCACCATGTCCAAGTGCAACGTGATCCTGAGCAGCTCTGAGTGTAGAACAGCGTTTAAAAATAGGCTCCAAGTGTGTGAGAGACACCGGAGCAACAATCTGAGATCACAGCAGCTGTCATTCACACACACACACACACACACACACACACACACACACACACACACACACACACACACACACACACACACACACACACACACACACACACACACACACACACACACACACACACACACACACACACACACACACACACACACACACACACACACACACACACACACACACACACACACACACACACACACACACACACACACGTCTTTACTGAAAAAAAATCCAGAGGTTGAAAGTAACTAAGCACACTTACTGAAGTACACTGAGTATTTCCATTTCATTCTACTTCATACTTCCACTCCAATATGGAAGCAAACATTGTGCTTTTTCCTCATTACTTTTATTTAAAGAAATGTGCTACTTTGCAGATCAAATGATGTATTCAAAATATAGATGAACTCAAGAGTTATGACATACTGTTATAGAATAAGATACAAGTCATTCAAGATGGCTTCACCTGCAACGTTACAATTATGTTCAAATTAAAGAGGACCGATTGTGCTTTTTGGCTCTGTGGTCTGGAAAGGCTAAAATCCCAAAGTTCCCTCCTGTGGAAGTTTTCTCTCCCTCCCACTCCCACAAGTCCTGAATCAGTTTCTCTATGGTTTTAAGCTGTTCAAGTCACGACCCACAGCAAGTACTTTTACTTGTGGTCCATTGTATCTATTCTGAAGCCAAGTCTTTTTGCACATCTCTGGTTGCCCTCATCTTTTACGTAATTCTAAGTAAACATATAACATAATCTCGTCATTTTTACTTTATTGTTCATCCTTTCCTCTCTGTCTCCCCTTTCCCTGCTCTCTGGGTTCAGGTGTGTGGAGTGTCGGTGGCCTGGAGGTGTCGACAGGTAAAGTGCCTCACCTTTTCGCGATTAACGGCTCCACAGTGCTGCTGCCCTGCACGTACGCCTCCTGCATCGGCATCAAAAACCTCTACTTCAACTGGCACTACAACAACAATGGAAGCATGATGAAGGTACAGCACAAACACACACACACACATACCGTGTATACATCACTTCAGGGGACATTACATTGACTTACATGCATTTCATGGAGACTTATCCTAACCTTAACCATAACCAACGCATGCCTAACCCTAACCCTAACCCAGTCTTCACCCTAAAATTAATGATTCCCCTCATGGGGACCTCCAATTTGTCCCCATAAGGGAGGCGAGTCCCCACACGTGACTGTGTAAACAGATTTAGGTCCCCACAACTATAGTAATACTAGGTCACACACACACACAAGGACGTAATGTACAAACCACCTGTGTTGAAGGTGTTTTTATATTCCCGATAACCATTGCTAAAATGTAACAAAGTACATTTACTCCAGTACTGTAGTTAAGTATACGAGATACTCCAAATGTATCTGAGTATTTTCATGTTATGCTATTTTATTTTATATTGCTAGATTAAAATTCTGAGTTCTTCTTCCACCACTGACATTTACACATTTATATATAAATCTATACATATATGGGAATACCCATGACTACCCATCTCTAAGTATTTGTGTGTGTGTATGTGTATGTGTATGTGTATGTGTATGTGTATGTGTGTGTGTGTGTGTGTGTGTGTGTGTGTGTGTGTGTAGTTGTGTGAAGCGGTGATCCCCATCGAGGGTGTCGAGCCCAAGGTCATTGTGTACCACGAGCGTGTGGAGTTTGTCGGCACCTCGAAGGGCAACAACATCTCCATCCTGCTGTATAACATCACTTACGAAGACGATGGAGAGTACATCTGTTTCGCCAAGAACGAGAAGGAGAAGAACCGCAACCACAGCGCCAGCTACATGCTCTACGTGGTGGACCAAAGTATGTTTCAAATCTACACTAAAGACACACTTCATCTCTATGGCCTTCTAGTCAGAGCGGAGCATGACACCTGACTATTCCCTGTGTTTTTTTTATTTTTATATTTCTGTCAATTATTGTCTTTTATTGTGATTGTAGTAATGTGTTTTTATTACATGTACAGCACTTTGGCTCGACCAAAAATCGCTTTTAAATGTGCTATATAAATAAAACTTGATTTGATTTGATGTTACCACGGTCGGGAGGGTTACTTAAGATGTTTGTTATGTCAGTGTATTATGTAAGACTGTAGAACAATATAACCTTGTTAGAATCTAACCTATTTAGGATCAATGTGTCCTCTGCTCAAAGATTTTATTTATAGGAAAACCTGCCTTTCATGAAGCATATTCAGACAGCTATACACCAACAATGAAACACATGAGCACATACCACAGTTTGAAAAGGCAGAAAATGCTCCATTTACGTAACAGTGATATCCTGCTAGTAATCCCACATTTTTTAGAAATGTAACAGTAATCTTATTACACATTTTCACTTTAAGGGATTTGGACTCTACTGGACTCCTTTGTTTACTAGGAGATAATGACATCACTAACTAACCCTCACACTCCTCTTGGCTAGCCCTTAACACATTATAAATGATAGGCTAAGGGGCGGGACATCTCTAAGCAGGGGACCAATCACAACAGAGCCGGCCAGCTAACCAATCAGAGCAGACTGGGCTCTGGTTTCAGACAGAGGGTGAAAAGAGGTGCTGCAGCACAGGCAGTATGAGAGAGCTTTTTGAACAGTAAATCATGTTGACATGTCCCAGTAGAGACACTACATACACATATGAACCTGAACATGAGCAGAATATGTCCCCTTTAAGTATATTGTATGTTGCACTGTTAAAGGAGCCTGAGATTTCAGATTTTCATTGCCAAAAATGACAGCTAGCATATGACAATAACACCTTTATATTATACCTGCTTATGAGAGTCTCACTGTTGGTGTCTCATCTCGCTCTTTCTCCCTCACAATGTGTTCCCCTCTCTTCCTCTCTGCAGTGAAGGAGATTGACACGACGTTGACCACCATCATTGTCTCAGTGGTGGGGGGAGTCATTGGCCTGTCTATCCTTGGCATGGTAATCAAGGCCTTGGTGATTAACTTCCTGCTGAAGGATGATGAGAAGAAGTGAGTAGATCTCTGCTAATAACACGGGAGGACAGATGATGAGAAATACACCATATATATAGATTATAAACTGTCTTGGCCTTCTTATCAAATATAAGTATAATCACAGGTAGTCAATTGCTTCGTTTTTTTAAATTTATTTAAAAGACAACGCAAGTTTAACATGACCTTCAATCATTTGACTTAAGATGAAAGGATCAACATGTCTTGATTTGACAATGCAGGTACACAGTACTGAGACAGTATATAGATTACGGAAATGAAAAATGCAGATTCACTTCAAATTGAAATTGTCGTTGTAAGTGGGGCAACATGAGACAAGGGATGGGATGCCAGGATTTATCACAATAATTGTGAATATCCCCGAAAAATACAGTTGGCACTCTCTTCCTTACAAAAGAGGCACACATCCCCAGGCAACTACCACACAATATATACATATATATACAGTAGATATATATTAATGTAATTAACGTATGACTGTGTGTATTTGCTTTCACGGTAGAAAATCGCAATCATGTTACGAGAAGATAATCGTGAAATAACCCATGCCTTGATTAGACCTTGAACATGTTAAATTTGCTTCCACTGATGCAGATAATATCATAACACTACTTAGTCTGACTGCTGTTTGACTGCAGTGAATACAATTTAAAATATTATGACTTGTTATGTTTACAAAATACTTTATTCAACACATTTTTTATTTGTGTATGTTCATATATTTTTCTTGTTATTGCACATTGTTAAATTTGTATGTTTATGTAATTTATTTTCCTCTACTTTATTCATTCTAAAATGGAAAAACTGTCCCAAAAACGAACGTTCCCCTGGGAGTATTAAAGTATTTCTGATTATGATAAATACAAATATTGACTGAAAAAGAGAGAAATATTGAATCTCTACTTAGTTCAAGGTTCTTTATTGTCAAACTAACATAGCTACAGAGTAATTATGTCGTTGAAAATCTTAGGTCACAGGCTTCTCCAACAATGCAACACAATTAGGGTAGGCTTCATTCTCTCTGGTTTAAATGAGTGTTTCCAATCTTACCATTCAACTATTGGATAAGTTTCATTAAAGTCCTAATGACAGACTTCCAATTCCTGTCCAACACAAGATTGTTATTTAGGCTTACAAGGGATCGGCTATGTAGAAATCCCTGCAGAACATATATAAATAGCTGTTATCACTCCTCTTGCCTCCTTCCGTGGGTGTACATCTAACCTTTTGTTTCTCTCTCCCCTGCAGCAAAGAGTGTCTGGTGAGCTCAGGGAATGACAACACAGAAAATGGACATTCAGGAGCCAAAGCAGACAACAAAGGGACACCAAAGGCATGAGCAAAATGCAAAGTATGTCTGTATGTTTGTATATATGTTAGACAAATGTACACGCTCAGAGAAAATGCTGTTCAGTGGACTGTTTTATCTTACTAGCGGCTAACATGTAAATGTCTATTTTAAATCATGCTTGAGATTTGGGGAGGGGGGAATGTGCAAAACCGTAAATCCTTCTCTCACCTTCACGAAAGCCCGTTCGTTACACAGTGTGCAGCCTAAGTGATCAAAATATGCTCTAATATCTGACACTTTTTCTACAGTAGAGCCTTAAGTGGCCTCGAACAGAGTGGTGCAGGAATGAGTCCTTATGAGTCGGTATTTTAGCTTATCGGGGCTCCCTTGTCTTGGAGGGTCAGTTGTTCTTTGAATGAGTTTTTGGTTCCTGAAATAAGGTCTGTGTGGTTAACGCAAGCTTATGAGCTGTTCACGTTTTGTTTAAAGACGTCAAATAAGTCAGCAAACACACAACTTGCAAAAAAAGTCATCACGCCGAACATTAGCCGCATTTGACATAGTTGTACAAAAGTATTAATGATTTCAACGTTGGCCTAGTTTGCAGCTGCAACCAATCAGATAACAGCTCTATGTAACGCTAGCAGGGGAGGTAACCATAGAAATTAACTTAACTAGCGGTTTTCAACCAAAGACTCTGCGCCCTACCCTGCAGTGAGCAAAGAGCGCATCATGTGAAGGCAGCTTTAGAAATGGAGATTATCCCACTGAAGAATATGTGTTGTGTACGTATCATAAATGTTTCCCTCAAAGCTTATTTTGTGCATATTTTCAAAGTCTATTTTAAACATCCCATTGGCCAGTCTAGTCTAAGTATAGTCTATATAGTATATATAGTATTATATATATATTATATATATATATTATATATATATAGTATAGTCTAAGTATAAGTCCAATCTAGTCGAGGGTGCCCTTGTCATCACTGCACCACTCTGTTCACCCTTTTACAACATGTATTGAGGAACGACTTTGAAAATCCTCAGATGTAGTTTTAATTGTATATTCCAAATGTCAATAATCAACTGCCAACAGTTTTGTTAGATTCTTCCATTTAGAGTCAAACTTGGACCCAAACAAGTTACACTTTGATGACACTAGGACATGCCACAATCTATGAACTGCCAAGATGTCGACCGACCGAAGAACAGCACAGAATACAGAATACATAAAACCAGAGGACCACTCAGCCAGAGTTTTGATAATGAAGGTTATAGCCAACATTTTTCTGGTTTTAATCAAATAACATTTACATTTAGGTACAAATAATGTGCTACTAATCAAACACTGTTTACATTTGTTTGTTTGCTAGTAGTTTTTTTTAAAGGATTTGTTGACATTGTAGTCCTAAACTCATAATTACTGCCGATGCAAGCTTCAACTTTACCTTGCATGTTTACAGCTGGGTCCAGGTTTGACATGTGGTTGTTTTATTAAAAAAAAAATGTTTTTGATCAACTTTACGGCTTGCTTAGTCTGACAACTGGCTTTCTTAGGTGAGAGAAGGACCAGGATGCACAGGTTTTATTGTTTTGCTTTAGATGAAACACTGGTGCCTGTTCTGCTTCGTCTCCCCCTGCTGGTGGGAGGACAAAAAACACAAAATAATTATTTAAAAAAAAAAAAAACTACCAACCCTATCCTTCATCAAAGACAATCCCTACCTAGACTACCCAGCTCCCTATAGAAATGAATGAACTTAATCATGCTGCTTCTGACTAATAACCAATGCATTTTTAGCATGTGCGCATTTTATATAACTTCATATGTTGTCTGGCACCACAGTACATGGACATTTATGTGTGTCTCTGTATGATCCCATTTAACCATTCACGTTAATTGACCAAAGCTCCGTCAATAAGCACTTCCCAACACTGCTTTTCTGACCCCTTTTAACTAAAGGTGGCTCCTATATAATAAAGTAATTGCCTGCAGGTAATTGTGGGAAAGAGAGGGTGAAATACATTTAACACCTACAGAAAAATAAGAACAATATCTTTAAATGTGACTAATACAATTCAACCACTGCTAGAAAACCTTAAGAACATGGCACTTTTGTTCATTAGCATAATGAATCACTTCCGTATGTCCGCGCTTATATGCAGACTCTTACTGGCTACCTTTCCAAACACAAACTTGCTCCTAGAACACTTTACACATAGATGTATTTGTGCTAAAAAATAGTCCATTGATAGTGCCTCAGTAATGCAGGCAGCACAGCATTGAGACAGATCACTGAAAGAATGTAAAGACTGTCAGGGAATAGATGTTAAATATTGTCCAAAAAAATATTATATTTTAATGAATTCTAAAAGTAATATTCAATATATAAATATATTATTATCAAATGAATGTGTGAATATCCCAAAAGGCCAGTGGTTCATTCTTCTTCGTCGTTTTATTATATGTGACCCTACCAAGACTTTAAGTGTGTTGCTCAGTTCATTGGTTACTCGTGACTGTATCCAGGAATGTTAAGCATTGAAGACTATATTCATTGTTTGCTTTTAATTAAGTCTGGTGTCTCAGCACTAAAAACATGCATTGGTAAGAACAGATGAGGAAGTGGCGAATAGTAATGGTAGAATATTTAGAAGTCATCACAACTTTAAGAGAAGAGATATGGATAGAGTTCACAAAGCTTTCATTACTTCTTCTTCATCTCGTGATAAACAAACATGGATCAATTTAGTGCTAAGAGGAAGACTGGGAACTAGAAGCTTCTCTCTATGCGACTCAGTGCGAGAAGCCACCTCTTTGAATAGCTATAACAGTGGAACACTACACAAAAACATACCTATAAGAGCCACTTCTTTGAGTGTCGTAAACTGGCCTTGTATTCAAACAATACAGCACTTTAACGCAATCCAGAGTGGGTGCACAACACAGGAAGTGACTTCTGAATGGTCGTTCTTTTATCATTTTTTACAAAAGTAAACTAAATCCAAGGTTTTCTCGTACCTCACCACAGCATTGTCTGACTACATGTTGGATGAGTTTTACTGGAAGATGTTATTTCTTTTTTCTAATCTCCATCAGCCTGATGCGCTCTAAAACTGGAGTGCATCTCCCTTCTTGCTTTCAATGGAAGCAATAAGACAGACAACAGATTATGCAATAACCTGTTATAGGGCACTTTAAAGACGTGTCTGGACTGGCTTTGATTGAAACTTTGACACTTTCATTATATGTGTGTATCTACACTGTGTTAATGTATTTCAGTTGGACTAATGCATGGACATTAGATTCAAACTGTGCATTAGACAGATGTTTCTTCTTTGGAAAACTGTACTAGCTACTAACATGTGACTGTTCAGTGTTAGAAGTCATACAGCGTCCTTGATGTGATATAAAACTGTGAATGTTATGGATATAAGAAAGCACTACACATACGGACACACACAATTGCATCCTTGTCTAAAAAAGTCTTGTGCATATGTCTCTGTGAAAAGGGTACACATGTACCTTCAAAGTCTTCCTGTAGGGAAAAGCAATATTGTGGTGTTGGTCTGTCTGTTAGTGTTAATTTCTGAACTCATGCTTTGACATAGCATAACAAACAGGTGGATTTGTGTAGAGAATGTGATGCATAACTTGTATATTTCTGGATACAACATCCATTTTGTGATCCCTGTTTTTCTGTGACTTGATTTTTTTATGCTTTCTAGAGTGAAGCCCATTAATAGAGATTTGTTCTGACTTTATGTGGAAGTAAGAATGTATTTTTTTTAAGTAAAACAACTCAAAAAGTGTAAAACCATGTCAAAATATTCCCAGTAAACCAAATTCAGGTATATGGGATGTAGTACCCTGTGGAAATGTACTCAAACGACCAAAAGCAAAGGCTGATTTTTAATATTTTTCTCATATAAGCCCATTTGTACACCTGCCTGTCTTTAATATCTGAACCTTACATGAGTCTTGAGGTTTGTTTACCGCTTATATAGTGATTGCTGCAGTACTGAGTCTGCCCTGTACAGTGTTGGATGCTTCTCTGCAGTGGTGCAATACACCCCGAAAATACACAATGACTGCCACCCAGTGGTAAACGCCTGCCACATATAGTACAAGCTAATGAAACATAATGCATTCTATGATTTCAGATTGAAATGGAAAACAAAGAGTTCCTTTTATGTAAATGACTACACTTTTCACAGTGGAGGAAACATAAACCTCATTTTAAATGCTTTTAGATCATGCTTTTAGTTGGATTGTTTACACGTATACATCATTCTAATCCCTGTGCCCATTGGGCGTTTAAGAAAAATGGGGGACGAGTGTGTATTAAATCTGCTAGGAAAAGGAAACATGCAACTATTTGTTCAAATGTGAATCCTTTATCAAATTGCTCCCCTTGTGAGCATTGAAAAGTTACCTTTAGTCTCAGTGTTAAAGTCACAGGTCTAACTAAAGGACCAGACTGACCACTATGATTCCTTAAAGCTAGTATTGCTCTTACTGCCAGAGCGGCTGAAACTCATACTGCCAATCCAAGAGTCTCACGTCTGCTGTACACTATATTACAATGACTCTCGACGTCCCTTAGTACACACTTTACTGAAACATGTTGCATTGCCGTCTACCGCTGTATTAAAAGTACTAAATGATATTGCTCTGTAATACTTCTGTATCTGTAGCAGCTGGAACTCACACTGCCAAGCCAAGAGTCTGACGTCTGCTTCCCACATTCCACACAGAGAAAAGAGATCGAAAAACGGATTTAATGCCGGAGTAAAATGTAACTTGACTACTATCCTGATCCAATGGGATGATCAAGGAAATAGGAGCAACATGTTACTTATTTTTGCTATTGTTTTCCTATTCAGAATCAAAGGATTATAGTTAGGAACGGCAAACAATGATGCATTTTCTGACTTGTTGCGTGTCGAAACGGATTATTTCATAGACTAAGGCTAGCTAGCTCAACATTTGAAATAAAAGCACAGGCTTAAACCGAACTTTTCACATTTTCCCTCTGCCGTTCTGACTATTTCAACCATATTTTGTACATAGCGGCTGTCATTAAATTAAGAACTCATTAATAGTACAGTATAGAAATTATAGTGTTTTATAGAAGTCAACGTCTTGCAGCAAGTGACTTTATCTTGCATACATCAGCACAGTCTATTCAACACGTACACAACACATCCCCAGGTTTCCCCTGATGTCCAGCTGTATGTCTGTGTTTGTGCTCCCTTCATGACTATGCACCCCTAACTTTTGACTTGTTAAAAAAAATACATACTGGAAATAAAATGTTGTTTGAAATTCCTGCAGTCCTGTTGAGTCTCATTGTGTCTTTGTCCAACTCTAGAGAATACATACCCAAATTATCAAATTCAATTGCTGATAAGAGAACATTTGCTCCATGTATAATGGTTGGAATATTTTCCTGTTTTTACGTTATAATATATTAGTGAAAATATACAGCTTATAACTGTGAGACATACACAGAAAAAGTAGAATAAGACTTGGTTGATGCCGTAGAGCAGTGCTTCTCAAACTTTTTTCAGTAATGTACCCCCTTTGAAACATTTTCTCAGCCAAGTACCCCCTGACCGACCCCGGACATTTTTGACAGAAAAAGCCTATATAAATAATTACAATATAGTGATGTTCCATCAGTGTTTGATTTATTAACTCCTTAATGCATGAATTACAACAAACATCTTTATGCATGAAACAAATATTTTTCCAAGGAGTTTTTCAATTGAATTAATATATGTTTAACAAACCAATGAAAAAAATGATATATTATTAAAAACCCTATTATTGATATATTATTGAAATACAATACACAAATGTAACATGTTTATATGAGGACCCCCTTAGTGGTTCTAGGAATATTTTATATAAAATTGTGTTTTCTATTTAACTTATTGTACTAGGATTATTTTTGTAATCATGCATGGTATTTTTTTAATTAACCTTTTTATTTTGTTTACCTCACGTACCCCCTGCAGTACCCCAACGTACCCCTAGGGGTCCGCCTACCCCCATTTGAGAATCACTGCCGTAGAGCAGTGTTTCTCAAACTTTTTCATACCAAGGACCACTTAACCAATAAAAAAACACTCGCGGACCACCTAACTCCACAAATATCCAAAAGCACATCGTTTTTTACAAATCGCCTGAAAATTGTACAAACAAGTGGCAACATGTGTGATGAAGGTGTTTATCTGGGTTATATCATGCAATCGAAAGTGAAACTTAAGCTCGTTCCATTGCGGAGATATTCCCGCGAGAGTACGACAAACTTAAATAAATGTATTTATTTCAAATGTGAAATTTTACCAATATACTCACGGACCACTAGGTGGCGCTCACGGACCACCAGTGGTCCGCGGACCACACTTTGAGAAGCACTGCCGTAGAGCACTGATCAATATTTGCATCATAATGATTACTTCAAGGATAATAAACCCCCCAAAATATATTAGCTTTTCACTTTGAAAGTCTAGACTCAAAATACGCAGCCATATAGATAATACCTGCATTTTATTTTAATGTGGATAATCAGATTTTGCAAGATGTCACATTTGGGGCAACATATTATATACTGTATAAGATGTACTCCTAGAATAACATGTCATAATATGGATAACCTTACTGTCAATGATACTCACTGTGGGGCCTAATGATAGGTACAAAAAAAAAAGTTACAGTGAGATATGCAAATATATTTGACTTAATTGAAAGCAGCATCAAAAAGAAAAGTCTTGATTTCAAGTGGTGAGATTTGCAGAAGACCTGCAGGTTTCTGGCAGTTTGTTCCAGATATTTGGAGCATAATAACTGAATGCTGCTTCTCCATGTTCAGTTCTGACTCTGGTGACAGAAAGTAGACCCGTCGTAGAAGACCTGAGAGTTCTGGGTGGTTCATAATGTAGCAGGAGATCAGAAATGTATTTTGGCCCTAAACCATTCAGTGATTTATAATTCAGCAGTAGTATTTTATACTAATATTTACTTAGAAAATAATACAGGACTCTCCTTTAAAGGGTCACCCACATGCTGGTACTTTTACTGTGTATTGTTACCAGTGTGCTGACTTTACTTTTGTCAAATCCAATGCTCTATACAGCCCTCATGTGGAGGTTTTGTAGAAGTGCAATGTCTCAAATAACTATGTTGGCTTTTGGTGGCTCTACAGCAACACAATCCCTTTTTATATCATTAATTAAAAAAAAGCTAGTTCGATTCCATTATGCGTTCTTCTACAGCCAATACTTTTTTTTAACTTGATTAACTTTTTGATTGCAGGACAAAGTATTCCTACACTCTGGTATTTCTACTTTTACATAATGATATGAGTACTATTTCCAGTCTTGCTTGGGGCGTTGTCGCCATCTGCTGAATAGGAAAGTGATGGCTTTTATACATTGAAAATAGTGTAAGTAGTTCCTACGAGGCCACCGTAGGAATGTGCGAAATGTAAACAGGAAGTCCAAATTCGTAGCTCAAACTGTTTCATTTAATACGTTTTTCACTAAGGAACCACTCAAATCAAATGCTTGTCTGAAAATAAGCTGCATTCTGTTTTAACGCCAGCATTTCTGAACCAAATTATTCTAATTCTTTGTATTGTATTGTTTTAACCCATTAGCTTGATACATTGGGGGTAATTAAAAAAAACATATTTTTATACTTTGTTTCCCTTAGTTTCACACTGTAGAGCGTACTTTTAATTACCTTAAAACAAATAAAAATACATTAATTAATGTCATATATTTGATTTAACCCTTCTCATATTATTTTTTGTAGTAAGTTCAAAGATAGGGCTTATTTTACATTACTGTATATTATAAAAATGCTTGCCATGTAGGCTGTGTTTACTGGAGATGGAAATGCTTTAGTTAGTGTTGTAGCTGAGATTCTTCCCGTTCCAATGATGTATGGGATGTATTGATTTGATACAAGTAAGTCAGTGTTTCATGTCATGGTCCGGACCCACCGGTGGGCCCATCAAGTTCAGCATTCACTGTGATGAATATAAAATAAGACACTGATACTGTTTTCTTCAATGAAGATTTATTGAAAGAGAAATATACCATAACAGAACGTGTGTGTGTGTGTGTGTGTGTGTGTGTGTGTGTGTGTGTGTGTGTGTGTGTGTGTGTGTGTGTGTGTGTGTGTGTGTGTGTGTGTGTGTGTGTGTGTGTGTGTGTGTGTGTGTGTGTGTGTGTGTGTGTGTGTGTGTGTGTGTGTGTGTGTGTGTGGAGATGTTTTCCATCTGCAGGATGAACATAATACACTCAAACCCATTCATTTTCTATGGCTGTCAATTCTGACCGAAAACATCATGGGTGTTTCACTGTTGAATAAATCACTCAAAATGCAATGCAAGTGGTGACCATCAAGTGTATACGTTCAGAGGCCTAGTGTGGAGGATAACATAAGGTATTGAGGTAAACACAGTATTTATGATTAAAACAAAAGTCATTCGGCCACTTTTGACCCGAAACGCAAGAGAAGGGTTAAATGCTTAAATGTAACCTTCTATGGTTTTTGGTGCGCCGCGCATGCGCACACTCTAACAAGCCCTCCTTAGCATTATCATTAACTCCCAAAAGAAGGTCTTCACTGATTTAAAAAAAAGTTACAAAACGCTTGTTTGCTCTCAGCGTAACTAGAAAATCTGCATAAACGTGTGTTGGAAATAAAGGTGTCACATTCTTCTGCAAAGGAGAAAAGGGTAAACAATGTACCACAAGAGTTTATGCTGTTTGTAATGTAGGCTATACACAGGTTGTAATTTGTTTGGGTAGGCTAGGATTTTGTTACAGGCCTTGAACTGCAGCCTCATTTGGAGGAAACAAACGAATGATGTACAGTATGCATGGTGTTTGGTTAGAAAGTCAATTTGATGCAGAACTGTAACTTACTGTCGGTTTTAAAATGCAGTCAGTGAGTTATGGAGCTTGGGCCTGCCCTACTTTGTTCTTTCATTAGTTTTTCATGGACTTTCCTAAACATTTTGGGAAAATATGTATATTATTGTTTCCTGACAGTGTGGTTTACCTGAAATAGCCTTCTAATGGTCATAGTGTTGTGGCACTGCCTACATGGTGGTAAACAATCCCCCTTTTTATCATTCATGTTTGCTCAGAAAGGCACAGGTGTTGCCCATGATGTTAACAATGTCTTTGTAAGAAATGCCATTCATAAAACTGTATCACTGAGAAAGCATGCACCACATCAGGATCCTGGAATGTAAGCAGCTAAATCCAGCTTTCATGAACTGAACCGTTTCCACCCTGGCTTTTTTACTTTGGCCTTTTAATCTTTCCTCTGTAAAATATGCCTGGTTTGTGAAATGTGATGTCCTTGGTGTGGAACTATAGTGGCCAGGGCACAACGTGATATTGTCTTGCGTTTTATGTTGACGTTTTTTTCAACCTTCTGCCTGTCATTTGTTATAATACAGCATAATTTACATCTGGACAAAATAGGACTCTTCACTGCATTCCCTCCTGTGGACACTTCCATGCTTCTGCTACCTTGTGAGGGTTTCTACAGATATGTAAGTCAAACAAATATCATAAGGATTGTGTATTGATAGCCTTTAAAGCGGTCTTGACATATTCCTATAAAAAAGATAACTTCTTTAACTACAGTAACTACTACTGTACCCACCCTGAGGTCTGTAATGGTCTGAACTTTGTTTGAACACAACACCACAGCTAACACTTCATGCCAGTGTGTAACAACTTAAAGGGAAACTTCCCCAAACATAGTGTCATTTATCTCTTTGGATTGACTTGTTGTGAGTTGGGGAGTGTCAGCGATCATGCCTTTTTAAAAATGTCTGTCATGTCTCGAAAATATTGGAAATAAATGGCACTCGGATTGTTGCGCCAAAAAAAACATTTGGAACAACAACAACATTTAAATAACAAAAATCTAAATACTACAGCACAAATATGTCAGTAGAGTAAATGTACTGTCCAGTAAGTAAGTAAAGCACAGGTGTAACTAAAAAGATTAACAATGGCTCCATTCATGTTCCTGGTAAATGGTGATTTGAGCCAGCATGCCCTGAAACTGAAGCAGAATCATGGATTCACCTGTGCCTTTCATACTGGGACATCAACATGTCTTCATGCTGAGATTGTTGGCTAATTGATTCCTCACTATCATAGCTATACTAAAAGTGTTCGTACAAAGCAATGTGGCTTTTTATTTGTCTGTCTCAGTCCAGATGAACTGTGCTGTAAGCAGGTTATTGACAGCTTCAGTCAATAGTGTGTCCTAAGCATCCCATTTAT